AAGTTTCTCTTGTTAGTGCCAAGGGTCTTGAGGACATGGATACATTCGGTGAGTTTGTTGTTTTCAAATCTCACATGTATGTTTGTTTAGGGTTGGTAATGTAAATGGTATGGGAATGAGCAGGTAAAATGGATCCTTTTGTGATCATGACATTAAAAACTCAGGAGCAGAAAAGCAGTGTTGCAACAGGACATGGAAGTGAACCTGTATGGAATGAGAATTTCGTATTCAATGTGTCCAAAGGTGCTGAAGAACTCAAACTCAAAATAATGGACAGTGATATCGCTTCCGATGATTTCGTCGGAGAAGCCGAGTGAGTATTGCCAGTAAATTCTCAAGTGTTTCATTTGCACTACATTCACAAGCTTTTAATGGTATTTGCAGAATTCCTTTGAGGGCTGTATTTCGGGAAGGAAACATTCCCCCAACTGCATATAATGTTGTAAGGGACAAAGTATTCAAGGGAGAGATTAAAGTTGGTCTCACTTTCACCCCTGAGGTATTTCTTTTCCTTTTCCTTCTTCTCTTTATAGTTATGCACACACATACACTTTTTTTTTGGGTTTAAAATTCGGTGTCCGATTCATTGATCAACAACTCAGTTTGTTCCATTCACAATATCATTATTGGAATCTCTAACCTTACTTAAGTAATCTAATATATATAAAAAGACCAATAGGTGGTTGATATATACACTAATACTCTAATTGCTTCATAACAGGGTGGATCTTCCCCAGTTTTTGGGAGGGATGAATCTTATGGAGGGTGGAAGCAATCTTCACCCGGAAGAGTTGGTTTCATTTTTCAATCATATATTTAAAGGAACATATTTTTACCCGAAATTAAATTTGATTGTTTCGTGATATGATCAGCATTCCAGCGAAGATGAAAGGGACAACGGTCGTCGAAAGGGTAAATCTCATGGAAGGAGAAGGCACTCTTCAGATGAGGATTAGGCCACATGTGGTTTCCATCTTAATTTCCCATTATAAAAAACTTCATCTGAACAAGAGAGAATGGTTTTAATTTATTTTCCACATTTTACTGCTAATATTTTGCCCAAATAAAAGAAATGGTAACATGCAAAATTGTGTTGGGAAGTTTTCCTATAGTTTCTATGATGAAGATTTAGCTTAATTAAAAAAAAAACTTGCATAACAAGAAATTTACTTAAAAATATATATATATTTTACTTTCGATCAACATAAAAGAAAATATACTTCTTTCTTTCTATGAGACTAGGTTTATTTCTTTCCTCAATCAATTTGAGCCAAATCGAATTTGGATAAAACTTCAATAATCTGCACCTCGACATAAATTTTGAAAGTACAACAAGTTCAAGATAAAATCTCAAATTCGATGAAACATCCAAACTCAATAAAAATTAATTCTTTACATCAAAGAATAAGTTCTCCATCTCGAGAACATATTCTCTCTTTCTTACATAAAACCTCTTAAAAATGTATTCTTCAACAATGATTCTTAACTAAATTCAACTCTTACCCAAATTTGAATGTACAAAATAATTTAATTTTCACGTCAATAAGGTCATCATAAGTATAAACTTTGCTCACAGTTGTATCACCTAGTAATATCATGCTCAAAACGATCTCAATAATATAGTAGTAATTCTATCTTTTTCTTGTTAATCCATGTGACGAATTGGATTATCTTTTTCTTCTCAAATTTGTTAGACTCACGAAATTAAAATTTTGTTATGCATCCCAAAATTGTTATACCTAGGGTTGTTTTATCCAACACAAAATCTTTTTCTGCTTGATTTAGTCGACACAAATGTGGAAGCAAAAACATGATCTTCGAAAATTATTGAACAATGTAGAAAATAAAACTTAGCAACCTTTTTTTTCAATTTCATCTAACTCTAATCGATGATATCTATTCATAAGAATAGTTGATTAAAAAGGAAATTTTCATCACTAAAAATCTACTCAAATTATGTTTCCTACTCTCAATCAACATAATATAAGATCTAATCACAAACCCTAATTAATCATGAATTTAGTAAATACCCATAGAATGACACTCACTTGCAACTTTAAACTTACAAAATCCACCAAAAAGTGAGGTTTTATTCACTTCACTCTGCCACTTTATTCTTGTCTCTAACCTTAGAAGAATTGTCTTGAATATCACTTTTAAAAGGTTCAACATCACATACACATAACAGATGTTATTATAAATTCATATAGAGCATTCTAAATGTCTAAATGCAACTTATACCATGCTTGAATTTCATTGAAAATTGTACTTTTCTTCATAAACCCCAAACCCTAACTTAGCTATCATCCATTTCACAAAATGTTTCATTAATCTCATAATCTCCTAAGAATAAATGAAGGATCAACTTGAAAAAGATAGATACTTTACCTAAAAAATATTTTAAAAATTCAAACACACATTGGAATAATAGACAATCAAATGAAATTTACTGTAAAAAAAATAAATTTATCTATGAATAACGTTGTTATGGTAAAATTCTCAACAGAGATTATATTCGGGGGGGGGGGGGAACACCTGATGAAAAGAGAGGAAACAAAACAACCGCACTATAACTAAGCTACTGATGATCTGCCAGAAAGAAAAAGAGTAATCAGTTATGGAGGGGGTTTGGTCCTCCTGGAACTGTTCGATAGTACACTTCATGAACTGCTTCACTCTTTGCAGGGAAATGCCATGTAGAGAAACTTGTCTTAGTTGTTTGTTCAGCTTCATTGATTTTACTTCCATGGATGTATCTGCAACTTGAGAGGTGGATGGTGGAGAGTATGATCATAAACAACATAAATGAGACTTTGGGATTCCAAATCCGCTTCATATTAGTTTGAAGGAGATGGCCAGAAGAACTGCAAGATGATGAATTTATGGAATTGAGTTTGTTCACTTAAAAGAGGCAGGTGGGAAGTCTTTTAATATGGGATCAAGGCATCAAGCAACCAATGGTGAAGATGTTGTACAAAACTAGCAATTAATTCTGCTTTGTAAATAGCAGAAATATCCTTCAAGCTTTGGGTAATTCTGCCACCATGCCATTCATTACTCACTCCCAAAACAAACTGTATGAAAGTAGAAATCACTGATGCCACTTCCTCAAGGAGATTTGGGTGCTTTTAGGATGCTTAAAAGCTCTAGATTGTGAAAGATAGAAAGTGATCCAAAGGGGAAAGATATTTCAGCAGACGACAGGTTAAAAGTATTATGGTTCGGATGAAAAGTGTGTCACGGGCGGGAGACGAAGATCGGGACACGTGCGTATTTATCCGTCAAAGAGATTTTGTGAGGAGTTTTCAATTTGTTTAGATTACTTAACATGACCTAATACTTGGTAATGTTAAAAGACTTGATTACATTAATTGAAAAGATTATTTTTATAATGTAATAGGCTAGTTGACATGAATGAATAGGATTTAATATTGTTTTTTTATCTTAACCGTTGATATAAATCGATCTAAATCATACATTGTAAGATGACTCAACTATAAATAGAGAACTTTCCTATTTCATTTGTAGCATCTATCGCTTCTAAATAATACAATCAATTAACATTTATTCTAAATTTTTTCTTGCTCTTTACCTCTAGTGTCTCTCTTGTCGGTTTTAGTGGTATCTTTGGGTGTTACATTTCTGCATATTTCTTAGGTTATTGTGACTTGTTCGTTGTTTTGGTGAACTAAAGTTCTGATAAAATTATTCTACAAGTTGATTTAGATAATGGATTCAAATTTTATCGTCTAAAACCACATGAATAATCTAAACCTATGATAGTTGAATGAATCCCGTGAAAATGAAGCATGAACACAAAAATTAAAGCGCCTATATAATTCTTCACGCTGCATCTACTCACGGTCAGGTGTTGTGTAGCTCCAGGGAGATATACCCCTACTCGACCCTCCTTGAAGGCTGGTTCCATAACAGGAAATTTATGGAAAACATTTGTTGATGCTCTCATTTTAGGTCTTAATGGGACCTCAAATTAATTGGACATTAAATAGGTGGGCCAATCCTAATATGGATATATGATTATGGTGGGATCCATACTTACAAATTCTTTATGCACGTCTCTCTCTGGTCACAAACACTTATTTTAAGACGAATATTATTTATTTTTTTACAAATTTTAAATATAATCTTATCCTTAGAGAAGAGGAAGAAGGAAGATGAATACTCCTAGTAAGTCTAGAATCCATAACATAATGAAATACGAGGAAATGAAGATGAATAACTTGATCAACCGATCAAATATACTTATTAAAACTTACATGATTTTTAAAGCTTATCATTTTTAACAGCATTTTAATATAAAATCATTATCAAGGTTATTAAAATATGTTTAACACTCAAAACGTCTCACATGTAATATACCAACATAGACAACATCACATTTATAAAATTCAAGAAAAAATTAAGACTTCAAACTGTATTATCTTAATAAAAATTACCAAAGAAACCTATTTACTTAAGTTTTCCCATCTTCTCCTATTTCTCTACAACTTGAAGGTCCTCCTTTCCAACCTTGATTACTTAGATTCACAAAGTTTAACCCTTCTTTCCCTCAATTCTCTAGATTTGTCAAGAAGAGAAAAAAAATCAAAGGAGATGAAATAGGGAAATAGGGAAATAGGTGGGAGAAGATGAGATCACCCCACCCTTGTGTCCCTGTATCCCACGTCCAACTAATAAAAATTATATTTTCAATTCAGAAAAAAAAAACATTTTTATGGCCAATCGGCCTAATCCTCACCTGATCAAGTCCGTCTTCACTTAACGGGCCTAATCAAACTTACAAACTGATCCATCAATGGCTCGGATCAATACTTGAATGTTGACTCAGAAATTCAGCATTACAATCCCAACCAGAGATGGATTGAAGGGGCGGTCTCCCTGAAAATTTTAGATATTTTCTTTGTATTTACTAATAAAAATCTATTTTCACCTCCTAAAATTTTATAAATTCACCTCCCCTTATAATTTTATAAATTTGTAAAAAAAAAAAACCCTTTATTAAGGGATGCATATATATACTCAACCCCATAAGGTTCAAAACCAACAAAAATAAGAAATTTAAAACAAAGTAACAAATTTGGAATTATTTGCTAGCTAAAGTACTTGAATAAACGTATGATTCCTTAATCCTCGTCTTCCCCATACTTGTCTGCAACATTTAGAGCTTCTGGTTTGTCTTTTCTTTTGTAGCTGATTGTTTTAGGTGGCTCTTTACGACGGCAGTTGGTTTTACTGACAGAGAAACTATAATCAAGATAATCGAATCAACCGGCAACAATTCAGTAGTGTTTCAAGCCTTGAATACCCTTGTCTGGCCGGCATTCCGTCTTGCACAACATCCCACAAAGTATATAATTGACTGCCATTGAAAACATGAACTAAGATTAGCCTTTAACACGAAAGAGGCTGAAGCAAATTATCAATAATCTCGATGGAACGGAATCAAACCGAAAGTTCTTGCTATTTTAGTTTTTCATTAATGTAGCAGGGGAAAGTGATTTGAGACAGCCGGAGAAAATCGTAAACAGATTCTTACCAAGACGATGAATAATGCCAAGTTAAAGATTGCAACAACTCTCCACTCAGTTTTCATGTATTGTGCAACACCGGCCCTGAAAGGCGATTGGAAGAAAGCAAATGGTAGTGAGAAACGTATGAAGTAGAAGATCATGCAATGCGGGGACATTGAACTTCTTACTTGCAAGAGTCGCAATTGTAGCATTTCACGGCCCGAGTGTTTTTGTAAAGCTTGCAGTCCTTATTGGAACTAACTGGATGAAAGCTCAAGTCGTAATATGAAGCATTGACCACAGGATAACCACATCTGTGTTCAAGTTAAATGCATAAACATGATAAATACAGGTGCAATTACAGAGGTTCAGCCCAGCTGAAAACAAAAAGAAAGATGCTTACTCGGATGGCGGTCGGCAGCAACCAGCTTCAATTGGTGTTAGTTTTGCCATTTTATATTGCTTAAGAGTCTAAAAATCCAAGTCGAAAACATTAGAAAAGATGACAAGGAAACACGTAGCAGTCGAGAGTTAAAATATAGACCTTGAATTGTTTTGCTAAGTTGTTGCAGTCCTCTGATTTCACGAGACAACTCTTCAATCGCTTCCAATTATCGCTATTATTCAGCTGACAAAAATAAAGACTAATGTAAATATGGTAAAACATGGTGGAACATACAGTACCAACAAATTGAAGCCTTACCTGCTTTAGAAACCATGAACTATACTCTTTAAGTTGATACTCCTTGTATCTGATAAGCAAAGAAGATAAAAAAAGATTAGGGTCATAAACCAACCTTGTTGAACTGGATTACAAGACAATGATGGTACATTTACTTGAGGCAAGTATCGAGGGAAAAAGAACTGGAAGAGAAAAGCAGATTCGGCATATATTGCATTCTTACAAGAAAATCAAGTAAATTTCAAGCACCAAGTGCATGGAGAGAGAGGTTGGAAGATAGCTTTTCGGTTTCTTAAGATACAAAGTGCATAAAGACGAGACCAGAAACACTACAATGAACTAAATACTAATTATGACCCAAATGAAACGACCGGCAATCAGAATTTCCATTGAAGTGCATATTTCCTTACCTCAAGCCAGACACATTGTGACCGGATCCATTATTTGTTATGATGAACCTACAAGAAAAGGCATAAAATTAATTTGTATGACTTGAAAATAGTTGTAAAAAGTGGGGGGTAAAAGAAGGCCTTTAATGATACAAAGAAAGAAAGCATGAGAATGTCTCAATAAAAGTAAACAACAGGCAAATAAAACAAAATAACAATTGCATAATGCAGCATTGATTTGTTGCTCGACAAGTTTGAAGTTAAGATAATCGAATCATATTGACTATAAGACAACTAGTGTTTTCCCTGGATCACCATCTCGTACTAAAACCGGAATAATCTGTCTTCATACTAACCATGCTTTTGTAGTTTCATTTAGAACAACCATTTAGGGAATAGAACATGAGACATCGACATCTATTTATCATTTGATAGCAGACTTATGAAAAACAATCTTAGTTAAAAAATCACAAACACCTAAACTAGGAATGCCAAAAAGATAAAAGAAAACACAATAATGCAATCACTCTCTGTGCAGGTCTTGACTGAATATACACACAGTCGGCTTGAGTTAAAAATACTTACGCCAACACCGTGAATACCAGGATTGCCACTAGAATGATGCATAACAAGATCAAATACTGCAAGCCAATGAGTCAAGGGTGTCCAAACAATGAAATTAAGAATGAAAAAAAAGCAACAAAATATCCTGAATTCTTAAATAACTCAAAGTTATACAAGGATACAATCCACAATAGTATGGTGTTTTTCTTCAACGCCCCCCAAAACCCGATTATGGATCTAAAATTCAAGTAAAACAACACTAATAGTAAGTTTTCTATACAGAGATAGGGAATTAGAGTAATCATAAACAACAGAGTGATGAAAACTTACATTACGAAAATGAAAGCACCAAGGCCTAAAACTGGAAGAGTAAGGGATTTTCTGCATTCATCATGATGAGTGCTCATCCATACCCCAAAAATTACAACAGCTATAGCTAAAAGCTGCCAATGAAAAGCATATATAATAACTTAAATAAGGCAAAATATTTCAAAGTTTTCTCATTTACTTCAACAAAACCTAGAACTTTACTACAGCATCATCATTTAGATAATCAGAAGATCATGGTAAAAATGGTGACTTTTCTGCAAATTTATACAATGAATTAGCCTACCAGCATTTTAAAAATAAATTAACAGCATCAATCAGAAACCAACAACAAATGTGACCCAGAAAACAAAATCAACCCCATTTGTGATAATAGAATTGTTAAAAGAAAATGGAAAGAGAAACAAAAAGAAGAGCATACCATAGTAAGGAAGTTGATCCATCTGATCACAAAATTGCTTGTTCCCATACCCATTTTTCAGTTCGACTTTACAAAAAAAATACCAAAAACAAATTAAAGAAAACAAAGAAAGAGCTGATGAAGATGGGTTTTAGGAAATGTATAAAAACATATAAAAGGAGAAAAGAGCAGAAGTTCTTAGAAGTTTCTTGAGGAACTCTGATATGGCACTTGCATTGCAAGAAAAGATAGAGACCCAGCAAGGGAAGTAGAACGAGGTTTTGTATTAGCTGGGGAGAGAGAGAGAAGGGTAGTTTGGTCAATAGACATGCACATGACTCGTGTTCCCCCCCCCCCTTCTTTCCGGTAGCAGAAAACAGAAAGCAAGCTTTGGTTTTTGCTTATATCATCAGGATTTAGGACAATATCTAATCAAACAACGACTGAAGTAATCTTCAAAACTCTTTCAAATTGCCCAAAGATATTATCATATGATTACAAACGTTTACGGTTTTAAATTACAATGACAAAATGCAAAGTACACAATTTAATATAAAAGTTTGGATTTTGGTGTCATAAACAGATAAGGAAAGTGGGTCAATGTTACAGGAAGAAAATTAGAAGCAATTAAGCCGTCTTGGGCTTCAAATTCATTTCATTTTAAAGCTGAAACGTAGACTCAAAGGTAAATCGTGTCACGGATGACTTTATTGCCATTAAAGACGAACCAGCTATGACTTGAAAGCTTCCTCCTCTTGTCATTTATTTAAGGGTAAAGTACACAATTGGTCCTTTGACTATAGGATAATGTTTTATTGAGTCCATTGATTATTGAAATTACAAAATGATCTCCTGATTATAGGATATTTTTTTGTTGAATCCAAGAATCTCAAACGACTATATAATTCAAACGATTCTGGAATAAGATTTTATTATATCTTATTCAACATTTTAACGTTCAATTTAGACGAATGTTAAATTTTTTAAAAGAGGACCAATTAACTTGATTAGTGTTCTACTAGGGGTTTAGGGTTTTTGTAATTCTCTCAAAATCTATTTTCAATTTTGTGAACTTTATCTCTTATACTCAAAAATTTCTCATCAAAAAATTTCACGTAAAATTTGATGTGTTTGTTATGTTCTTTCTTGTTTATTTGTGATTATTGTCATTATCTTGCCTAACTATGTAACCATTGATATCAACGTGTTTTGGGTTTAGTTTTGTTCACGATAATGACAACTACGAAGTATGATATTTTGAAATTGGATCACAACACTAGATTTTCGTTTTTGCTAGTGAAGATACAAATAATTCTTATGCAAATGAATTTAGGCAACGCACTGTTGAAATTTGATCAGACGTCTTCATCTTGAATATCCAAGGAGAAAATATATATTAATAAAAAAAGGAGAAAACATATAAAGATAAAAAAAAAAGCCTTGTCTAATATTCATATGCATATCAAATCAAATACTACAAGATATGTTGAAACTAAAAAACTTGTACATGTCGAAAAATCTAACCAGCAAATTACATATGAAGCATAGATTCTATTCTCATCATTTGACAGAGGGTTTGTTTCTAGAAAGTCACTTAATCGTGTTTAAGGAAATTAAATTAGATATAGGGGGCATGTAAGTTAAATACAATAAATATGATTTATATTATATTATATTATATTTTATTAATTGCCTCTTTATTCGATCTTTAGAGATACTATTCTATATAGTCGTAATACTTTTACCACTGTCGAAATATATATGTTATATCCTTGTATGAAAAGATGAAATATCTAACGCCCTGAAAATTGGGACTTTAAATTTTGGGTTAGTGAAGTTGGGTTAAGATTCTATGGGGATCATGGGTTCAATTTTAATATGAATTAGTTTTTTTTTTTGTTACAAGAGAAGCCACTAGGATCTAGTGGACTGATCTATTTTAAGCCACTAGGATCTAGTGGACTGATCTATTTTCTGATGCAATACAATCAGAACTAAAAATGCTTAAAATTGTTGGTGGTGGTGCAGAAAAAAAAAACGAGAGAACCCAGTGTTAAACCACTTTCAGTTAAGTGATGGTTAGAGGCTGTTAAGCAGTTAATTGGTTAAGGATAACCGACTGTACAGCTGTGTATTGCAGCCTATAAATTGCTGCTCAACTTGTGTAAATATCATTCATTCATGTGCATAGTAAAATTCTCTCTTCTGCTGGTTTTTCTTGTTAAGTATCTTCTATAGTTAACATGGTATCATTCGCCATTAGGTCCTGAATAAGCTTTTGCTGTGCGCCGTTCTTTCATCTTTCTTGTCTTTCTGGTTCTTGGCTGCTTTCGAAGAGAAGTCATGGTGCAAGGCTTGATGATGACAGCTGAGGATGAGCAACTAAATGAGGCAAGCTCTCATACCTTTGCCAATAAAAGAGTCAATGTCTGCCTAACCGACTCAAACTATCTTCTTTGGAAGCAACAAGTAATTCTCACAATCAGAGGACTCGGACTCGAAGGCTTTCTTGATGATTCCATGGTGGTTCCAACAAAACTAACGATTAATGATGCTGGTGAACAAGTTGTTAATCCAGCTTATCTACGGTATGTCAAGCAAGATAGTTCCTTGGCTTCTTTCCACCGTTAGCACCGACATTCTTCCTCAATTGGTTGGTACTGAATCTACGGCTGCTGTCTGGAGTGCCATCACCAGACTGTATTCGAAATTATCCACCACAAAAATAATGGCCATTAAAGAAATTTGTGATCTTTTAGCCACGTGTGGCAACCCTATCTCAGACATTGATCACATCGCCACCGTCCTTAATGGTCTTCCAGCCGAGTATGAGCTAACAGTGGCTGCGATTACTGCGAGCAGAGAACCATTTGCTCTCGACAGTGTGGTATCGGTTCTCATTGATGCTGAGTCTCGCCTTGATGACTCCTCAAGATTCCCAGTAGAGGTTAATTTCACTCGTTACAACACCAATCAGGGCTCGGATTCTCAATAATACAAGAATCATGGGCCTGTAAAGTCTAACAATACTGCTAGTAACAAGTATAAGGGGAGACCCAAACAGCAATGTCAATTATGTGGAAAGTTAGGTCATCTAGTTGACAGGTGCTGGCAAAGGTTTGACCAGAACTTCAAAGGAGTAACTGCTCAACAAAGCTCCTCGTCTAATGCCATACAGGCGAACATGTGCTCATGTTATCCTCATACAACCGACTGTCATTACAGTCCCTTTACAAACACCAATACAGAAGATGAAGATTCAGCTGACTCCGAGCCACACGACAATGCACAGGTCAATGCATTAGTGGCCAATGGTCCCCTAAACTATGCTAAATGGTTTCCAGATTCAGGAGCCACCCACCATGTAACTGGCGCTGCTTCTGCACTCTCGAGCAAACAAACCTACACTGGCAGTGGTAAGGTGCATCTAGGAGATGGTTCCACTGTTTCGATTACACACATTGGTACAAATATTTTAAAAACTGACTCTAGGGATCTCCTGCTTGATCACATTCTGCATGTTCCAAACATCAATAAAAATCTCTTGTCAGTTTCGAAATTCACTCAAACTAATTCAGTTTTCTTTGAGTTTCACAAAAATGCTTGTTATGTTAAGGATGAGAGTACAGGAATCGTGCTGGTAGAAGGGAAGCTTGATGGAGGACTCTATAGCTTTGACTGTCAAACCATTCATGACACATCAACTCTAAACAACACTGTTGTAAAAAATACCAATGAATACTGATTGTGGCACAAAAGATTGGGGCACCCAGCAGCTGAGGTGGTGATGGCAGCTCTCAACAAGAGGCTAAGTGTAGATAAGAGTGAGGTGTGTGCAGCCTGTCAGATGGGAAAATGCAAAACTCAGCCCTTTCCCATGTCACAGACTGTGTACAAACAACCATTTGAATTAGTAGAGGTTGGTGTATGGGGCCCTGCTCCTATTATCTCTAATGGTTTCAGATACTTTGTGAGTTTTGTAGACTTGTATTCGAGAAACAGCTGGGTTTATCTGTTAAAGAATAAAAGTGAGGTTGATGTCTCCTTTGAAATATTTGTTGCCTTAGTCTCAAATCAATTTAAGACAACCATCCTTGCATTGCAAACTGACAATGGAGGTGAGTTTCGTTTTCTTGAAGCTATCTCACATAAACTTGGCACTAAACTCAGGAAGTCATGTCCACATACCTCACAACAAAATGGGGTGGTGGAAAGGAAACACAGACATATAGTTGAAACTGCCTTAACGTTGCTAGCTCAAGCCTCAATGCCCCTAAATCTTTGGTCTCATGCAGTTCTTAGTGCAGTATATCTCATCAACAGAATGCCCTCTAAGATTCTTGGCAATATTTCTCCCTATCAGAAGTTGTAAAGCTTCCTCAAAACCTTTGGCTGTCAATGCTTCCCCAATCTCAGGGTGTTCAATGCACACAAGTTGGATTTTAGGTCCAAGGCTTGTGTTTTTCTCGGGTACTCACCATTGTACCATGGTTATTAGTGCATGGATGAACATGACAAGATCTATGTGTCCAGAAGTGTAGTGTTTAATGAACACATTTTTCCTTTTGCTCACAAAACAGCAGCTCACAAGAAAGATGGTGATGTAACAGTTCGATCAAGGGTTGTTCCAGTTGTTAGTAGTCCACACGAGCAAACCATAGCTGTGCCAAGGTCAAATATTAATACTGATGTCAGCACTGGTCAAAGAATAGAAGCAAGCAACACTAGTCCATCTGCAGCAACATGAAATGAACTTCACATACATTCTGGAGAGCACTCAGCGAATATTGGACATGATTCTCTTGCTCCTGAATCTGCTGCTAATGTCTCCTCACAACAAGAACAGTCTGCCTCTACTGGGCAAGTTCAATGCCAAGAAACTATTCCAGAGACTAGGGTGAGCAATACTCATTCCATAACAACTCGCAGCAAGCATGGCATTTTTAAACCAAAAGTCTACTCAATTCAGTGCAACACAGTACCTAGTGACATTCGAGCTGCACTTGAAGATGATGACTGGAGGATGGCTGTAATGGCTGAATATAATGCACTTATTAGCAACAATACATGGGATATTGTGGAGTTGCCAGTTGGTAGGAAAGCCATTGGCTGCAAATGGCTCTTCAAGGTAAAGAAGAATGCTGATGGCTCAGTTGAGAGGTTGAAAGCTAGACTGGTTGCCAAGGGATATTCTCAAATACCAGGCTATGATTTTATGGACACTTTTAGTCCTGTAGTTCGTTTCTTCACAGTAAACATACTAATCTCACTGGCTGTTTCATGTCAATGGAAAATCAGACAGGTGGATGTCAACAATGCATTTCTAAAAGGAGCCTAAGCGAGGATGTATATATGCAACAAGTTCCTGGTTTTTAAGAACAA